ATGGCAAAAGTAAAGCATGAAACAAGTTTTGCTTATGATGATTCTGACCATGAAAATTATTATGATAAGATAATTTTCTCTATGGAGGAAAAATTCACCACTTGAATGGTGTTATAAAAGATCTTGTAGTACAAAATTATTGAGAGCTCCAGAACAGCGAATTTGTTACTACTCGAATAAACGAAATTATTCTTGACATTGATATTGTAGTAAGTCTCAAAAGAAACTTTTTGAGTTTCAAATGTATTAGCCAAAATGGTTGTCATGTTGAGACTATAAATGAAAGAAAGATTGATTATCTTCGTATTACTATAACATACCGGGTAAATATGAAAGGTTGCCCGACTTTTCTTCTATCTGTACTACAGATGTATAAGCATGATGATGGAATCACATGCCATAGTAAATTAAATATTTACTGAAATAAACAATAGTTGGCATGACCGGTTGGCCATCCCGGTTCAATTATGATGTGAAAATTGATTGAGAATTCACATTGGCATATGTTGAAGAAATATAAGATTCTTCAAGAATTCTCTTGTGCTGCTTATTCTCATGATATACCAGTTAAGGTCGGGATTGAATCCCTTGATTTCTGGAACGAATAGAAGGTGATATATATATGGGCCCAGTCACTTGGCATGTGGACCATTTACTATTATATAATTTTAATAGATGCATCTATTGTATGGTCGCATGTGTGTTTTCAACTTGCAGTTTGGATTTTGCAAGATTGATTGCTCAAATTATTAGAGCAGAGTCAAGAATATAAATTTATCTTGATAATGCTGGTTTAAATCCAAGTTAGTTTAGCAGAGATTGTATGCCTCCAATTATAGCTAAACCATTGGTTATGAGAACAAAATTACCAAAAAAAAATTTGGTATGAGATGTATTATTTAATATAGAGCAGCACTTGTACGCATCTAGCCAAGTTATGATAAATTCTCCCGTCACAATTGGTTCAGGGTCAGGAACCAAATAATTTCCATCTTGAAATATGAATGTGTTATATGATTTAATTGTGACACCACAATGCACAAAGATGGGTCCCTAAAGAAGGTTGGGGATATATGTTGGTGATCCCAACATTAGGGGGAGAAAATGGGCAGCTGAAAAAGTAATACATGGAATGAATTATTATGAGTTCACCTAGATCCTCGTACAAGAAAATGTGATCTTGAAGTTCAAGTGATAATTCATTTGCAAAATAATGCCATGCACATTTGCTGACCCAAAGCTGAATATCATATTCCAGCTGCTAATGCTCCAAATAGAATAACGTCCATGATGGACAGAATTTATGGCTACGCATGGAAAGTCNATGCCTCCAATTAAGCTAAACCATTGGTGTGAGAATAAAACTCCCAAATCAAAATTTGGTATGAGGTGTATTATTTAATATACAACATCACTTGTACGCATCTAGCCAACAAGTTATGATAAATTCTCCCCATCACAATTAGTTCAGGGTCAGGAACCAAATATTCCCATCTAGAAATATGGATGTGTTATATGATTTAATTGTGCCACCACAATGCACAAATATTGGTCTCAATGAAGGTTGGGGATATGTGTTGGTGATCCCAACATTTGGGGGAGAAAATGAGCAGCTGAAAAAAGTAATACATGGAATGAATTATTATGAGTATATTAGATCCTCGTACAAGAAAATATGAACTTGAAGTTCAAGTGATAATTCATTTGCAAAATATTTCCATGCGCATTTGCTGACCCAAACTAAATGTCATATTTCAGCTACTAATGCTCCAAATAGAATAAAGTCCATGATGGACATAGTCTATGAAACGCATGAAGCGTAATAGACTAATCGGTTCCAAAGATAAAACTCCTTGAAGAAGGAGAGGAGCAAATGTTCAAGATGGTCACAATAAGGAGGCAAGTGCTTTATAAAAGCACCATGACATAACACTTTATAAGACCTCATGGGAGAGGCTCAGGTACTTGAAAATAATGAGATAAAGAGATCTCAATAAGTTATGTCTTTAGTGGGTAATGACAGAACCGATGTAAAATGATCGTCGACGATGTTGTTAATATAATGTAGCGCTCAATATTATTAATATTGACGAGGATCTTGAGCTCAAATCTGTCATGGAATTTGGACAGATAAATGATTGGCTAAATGAAAAATATGCAATGAAAATTGACTTCATCTGAAAAATATGAAGTTGGACGAATAGTCCCAACAGCTGAAAGTATAAAGGCTATATGGAGATATTGAAATATGATTAGTATTATATTGCAAAAGGAATCCTTGATATAGATTTGTTTATTCTAACAAATATTGTCAAGGTTTTATTGTTTATGCAAATGCAGGCATTTATTGAAGTCCGTTCTTCAAACAATCTATTTGTATGTGAGAAATTGTCATATAATCATTTTACAAGATGTGTGACTTTTCTTTGAAGAGAAGATTCCAATAATAGTGAAGACGCTGATGTTTGCTTATCTCAATTGAAAGAAGAATATATTGAAGGAAACAGAATAAATCATATATTTCATCAAAGTTCTTTGTCAGACACGATCTTCAACAGAATGATGAAATAGATGTTCAAGAAATTCGTTCAAGTGATAATTTGGCGGAATAATTCACCAAGGCATTGCCGATCTCAATATTAGAGAAGTTGTTAGACAATCTTGGAATTCGTCGTCTCCGAGAAATAAAGTGATATTTTCATCAGGGGGAGGCAAATATGTGTTGTACTCTTTTTCCCTTAGCTAAGGTTTTATCTCACTGGGTTTTCCTGGCAAGGTTTTTAATGAGGCGGCAAGTAATACGTATTACAAGATATGTGTACCCCTTTTCCTTCACTAGGATTTTTTCCCATAGGATTTTTTCCTAGTAAGGTTTTAACGAGGCACATTATCTTTGGACATCCAAGGGGAGTGTTATAAAATACTTGATTATGGTGGATGTCCATAACTCCTAAAGGAGTAACACCCACTACTCTTCTCCATTAACCTCCCACTACTTCTTACCATTATGGATGTAACTCCCACACCTCCATGATCTTCCCCCATGTTCTCAATAGTTAATACCATATTTATGGCATCCCTTTGTATTACCTATATCATCCTATAAATAGAGGGTTTGGGCATCACATTGTATATACTTGGAAAACACTTGAAGAAATAAGAATCTATTCTCTCTTTCTCTCTACATTCTTGTCTATTTGTTTGTTTCATATTATTACTTTGAGCTAAGTTTCTTAACAGCTTAATCTATTTTAGTCTTTTTTTAATTTGCCATTATTTATTATTTTTGAATGGCCCTTAAAATTATAAATTCAATTGTTTAATCTCAAAAGATTTTTGGATCAATCCCATGAAACAATTAATTCTTTAACTTTACATTCCCTCTAAACATTCTCTTCTCTTTACTATCACTAACTATACTAACACTATCTCTCGAACTAACTAATTGCATCAAATTCTTTGGATAAAAGAACTCCAGCTTTTAGAGTGGATTTACTAAGTAGAATGATGAGTGATTTTTTAGCCTTTAAAAGACTATGGAGGAGGGCGATGTGCACAAATAGCCACTAACAGATCCTGTCTTTATTTTAAAGCCACTGTTTTAAATGTCTTTAGTTTTAGCCACTGGTTTAATGACCTTTAACTGTCCGGACGAAAATACCCTTCTGCTCATGTCCTTAACTTCAGGACTTCAGAACTACATGTCCTTAACTTTTGAACTTGAAACTCTAAGTTCAGGACTTCAAGACTACATGTCATTAACTTTTTAACCTGTAACTCTAAGTTCAGGACTTCAGGACTACATGTCCTTAACTTTTGAACTTGTAAGTCAAAGTTAAGGACCTATTGTCCTTAACTTTTGAACTTGTAACTATAAGTTAAGTAGTGCTTGTCCTTAACTTTTGAACGTGTAACTGTAAGTTAAGGACTGTCTGTCCTTAACTTTGAGTTTTAAGTTCAAAAGTTAAGGACAACAGTCCTTAAGTTTGACTTGCTGGTTAAAAAGTTATGGACAGGAAGTCCTTAACTTATAGTTCAAAGTTGAAAACTTAAGGACTCCTGTCCTTAACTTTGATTTCAAAGATTAAAAGTTAAGGACAAGAAGTCCTTAACTTATAGTTTCAAGTTTAAAACTTAAGGACTGTCTGTCCTTAATTCTTGTTCAGTTTCCAGTATGCTGCTAATTGTGAGCGTTATAAGTATGAGTTTGCCCAGAATTGAGAGATAAATACATAATAATTTCCTGAAGCCTAACTGTTACCTTTCTCCAATAGTTAGATGTTAACTTGTAGAGATAAATACGTTATCTTTTCTCCTTTTTGCCTCATTTTCAACTCGATGCATTATAAGATCTTTATTCTTCATGAGACATAGCATTTTGCATATAATGGTTGTTTGACTTCTTAGTTAGATGGCTTACTGATCTTATCTGAATGTTCAGCTCCCAATATATCATGTTCATCCTTGTTCAGTTTCCAGTATGCTGCTAATTGTGAGCGTTATAAGTATGAGTTTGCCCAGAATTGAGAGATAAATACATAATAATTTCCTGAAGCCTAACTGTTACCTTTATGAAGGAAGGGTAAAACAGTCTTTTCCCTATTAGTAGTGGCTATTTTTGCTGAGCATTATAATTAGTGGATAAAAATTAAAGACGCCCTTAATTAGTGGCTACTGCACGCCATTTCTACCCATTTTCATACTAGGTTGGACTTGTGATTTTAAGCCTGAGTTGATCCAAGGCCCAATATCGGCCCAACATTTCAGTTTTTTTAATAGAGCCCAAAGTTTCGTTTACGTTCCAATATTTGTGACTGTAGGGGTGTTCACGGTTTGACGGAAAACCTATCCAAACTAAAAACCGAACCAAACCGATTAAGTAAATCGATATTTTTTTTGATTTGGATTGGTTTTGGTTTTAAATTTTAAAAACCGATAATATTTGGTTTGGTTTTGGTTCNGTCTGCTCTGCATAAAGAAGGAAGCATGAAGTTGGCCTACTTGCAACTAGCAAGACTGGAAGAAGAGTTATTAGTAACTCACCTAGATTCCCAAATCCAAATCCCAAACACTTTTGTAGTAATTAATTACCACCTTAAACCTTCACAATTCATTTCATTATATATATATATATTTGCTACTACATATCTAAATCTCCATCTGCACCAATCTCTTTATCCTCCTGTCTCTTTTTTGATCTGTCTTTTCCTTTGCCATTTTTGAAGCTACATTTCCCCATCTGGGTCTTCTTCATTCTTGCACTACATTTATATGGGACAATTGTTATTGTCGTCCCAAGATTCAATTTAAGGAAACAAGAAATTATATTGTCTGTTGGTCATGTCTTATACTGGAAAAGGCTACTCTGATTCCAGCACTACTGGTGCTGTTGAAGGTTCATCTCACTTGAAGCTTTATCAAGCTTTCATTTTTTCAGTTCCCATTTTCTTTGCTTTTGTACTTCTATTGTTTTTTTACATATTTTATCTTCGCCGTCGGAGGGTTGACTGGTCTTCTTTAAGGATGAGGAGTCCACAGTTGCAGCACACCGCTACGGGAGCTGATGAATTGTCAAGGGTATGTATAAGGAAAATAAAAATGGAGTTATTTTTATATAAATCTTGGAATTGTTGTTTTAATTGATTTTGTTGTTGTTGTTGTTGTTGTTGTAACAGTGTGAATTGGGGTTGAAGAAGGAGGTGAGGGAGATGTTACCAATTATTGTGTTCACAGAGAGCTTCTCCGTCAAAGACACACAGTAAGAGTCCTTTGTCTTTCTTGATTTTTTGAATTGTTTATGTGCTCAGAATTTGGTAAAAAATTGGTAGTCTATGCATTAAGCTGTTTCCATGTATATCCTGCCCAATCTCCACTACAAGGGGAAGGAGTGAAAGTATCTCTAACAAAAGATTGCAACTTTATGAACCAACCTGACATTTTGGCTATTTGGGTACTCAGATTTTTTCAAATTTCAGGGTTTCATGGAATGTTGCCTGAATTGGGTCATGTTCTACGTATACCTGTCGATCTATAGGTGTGACATTATGATGATTGAAGGCGTTAAAAGATGTGAATCTAAAATTACATGGAGGGAAGTGTCTCACAAGATCTTAAATAATCTATTAAAAAGGAAAAAGAATGAGATTCGGTTCAAAATAAAAGACGGTGGAAGTAAGAAATTCCATATAAGTGATAATAACTAGTTGATATTAAACTAGTTATTGAGATTTAGAGACGCATAATTTGTCCGCTTAGTATCAGAATGAAATTGACATGGCCAGTGGTATTAAGAAGAATCATAACCCAATTGATTTGAGATTGAGCCATTGAGGTGTGGTTGATTGATAAAGGATATAGAGATTTATGGAAGGTTGTTTGCTATTGTAGTTTATGGGTGTGGGGGGGGGGGGGGGGGTTATGTTGCATATAGGATGTAACTTATTCTGGGGTCATAGTAGAGTGTAAAGTAGGATGAAGGAATAAACAAGCATGGAAGTTCACTGGAAATCACTGGGCTTGATACTGGTGGTAATAAATGAAAAGCACATAAATCCGACCCTTTTTCTTTCCCGGGGTAAGTAAGAGCGCATTGCACAAATCTATCCCTGCAATCAAACTTCTTGAACTCCTTGAGGCTTTTTATTTTTAAACCTTAATTAGGGAGCAAGCATTGAGAAAAATATTATCCAAAAGATGATGCCTGTAGAAAGCTCCATGTTGGTAAACGATTCCACGGTATTTTCATCAATTTCACTGCAAAAGTGTCTTGATGGACTTCCATCAATGTCACGACACTCAACTATACCAAGATCTAGAGATATTGGTACCTAGGGGTGTCAAGTGTGTGTGTGTGTGTTGGGGGGGGGGGGGGGATAATTTTGGGCAGGTCAAAATGGGTTGAGTCAATAAATTGTCGGGTCAATGACTCACCCAAAAGTTATTTGGGCTGAGATGAGGTTGGGTCAAGATGTGGGCTAAAATTTGGGTCATAAGCCTCTTACCAAGCTTTAATTAATGTATGTTGCTTTCTTATGAATTATTTAATTACCAAATAACACTTTCTTCTTTTATTATGGTCATTTATAACATATCAAGGAAAAAGAACTATTTTAAAGATATTTTAACAAAGTTGCTCACGAATCAATTTGGGCTAAAAATCAGCCCAACTTTAGATGGGCTGGGTCAAGATGGGGTGAGTTCAACAATGGACGAGTCATTGAGCGGCCCAACCTTGGTTGGGTTGGGCTTAGATTGCCACCCCTATTGGTACCTAAATTTGTTAAAATAATATTGTCCTCACTAACAAGTTTTTGATTAAAAAAAACAAATGCACCTCTTAAACTAATAATATATGGGGTCAAATAAAAAATTTCATCATAGGAGCATTTATCATGAATAGTCTATGTCTCTATGATATTGCTGCAACTTCATCTAAGATATTTGTTGCACTCGCTGCTGTGTTGTTTTTGCTCTCTTATAGAAGTTATCCCCAAAACTTTAATTACTATAGTGGTTGTTGTGATTAGTTTTTCTGGGAAATCTAATGATTTGTGCTTCAACTCATGCTGGAAAGAACTCTCGAGTAATTTATTTTGGCATTTGAAAGAGTTTAGTTTCGAATTTCATCCCATACTTGTTAAAAGTTCTTTCATAATATTTGTGGTTAATTGTTAAATTTCAAAAATCTATTTGTTTAGTTTTCTTAATGCAATGAATCCATAATATAGGATATATTTGTTAAATCTCGATTTCTTAGTTATATCTCAGTTTCTTATGGAGTTCTCTCTTTTGCTGTTACAGGTGTTCTGTGTGCTTAGGTGATTACCAAGCAGATGATAGACTTCAACAGATACCTGTGTGTGGGCATACATTTCACATGGATTGCATTGATCTCTGGTTAGCTACTCATAGCACATGCCCACTCTGCCGCCAATCCCTCCTTACTCCAGCTAAAGCTTCCAGTGAAACACCTCATACTTCGGCAGAAACCAGCGATAGAACATCAGCTGAGGAAAATGGTGATGAAACATCTCGTCGTAGTGTCTCCGAGTGCCCCAAAGTAGGCCAATTAAATGTGGAGTCCAGAACCACGGATGAAAGGGCAATTGAACCCTCTAATCAAGATGCAAGTGAGGGTGACAATGTTAACCGTGAGAGAGAGTCGAGGGATGCTGCCGTGTAGGAAAGTTTGATGCTCGATTGTTAGGGAAAAATTTGCTATGCGCAGGATAATGCTTTGTGTGTTAGGGAACAATAGCAAGTGGCATGGTGCAGGATAAGTGTGATACATATATAAGTCTAGTATTCTGAAGATCTAAGCTGATAGAGATCAGATCTTGTTGTGTGCTCGTGAAGTTTCTACATTTCTCAGGGAGAACGAGAAGCAAAACAACTCGTTTTTCGACACTTTTTTTCTCTGGGAAAAGAAGAAGCAGAAGCAAAGTCATCTCTAGCTAGTGCATGTACAGATCATATATCTTGTTTTCATGCTCGTGAAGTTTCGACGTTTCTCTCAGGGAAATGAGAGCCAAAACAGCGCTGAAGTTTTGGCCATCTCTGGGGAAGAAGAAGCTGAAGCAAAGTCATATGTAGTGCATTACAGATGATATCGTGCTCATGATGTTTCGACATTTCTCAGGGAAATGAGAGAGGCAAAACACCTCAGAAGTTTTGGTCATTTTACATCTCTGTGGGAAAAAAAGAAGCTGAAGCAAGCTTAGGCATTCTTTGATGCATGTTTATTGGAATGTTAAAAGTTTCTGTAGAGGTGTACCATGTAATAATGTTGTGTTATGAAAAGTGAATTGATGGACATTGAATTTTATGTCTTTTTCAGTTTGAAGCCCCCACTACTTCTTACCTAACTCCCACACCTCCATGATCTTCCCCCATGTTCTCAATAGTTAATACCATGTTTATGGAGTCCCTTTGTATTACCTATATCATCCTATAAATAGAGGGTTTGGGCATCACATTGTACACACTTGAATACATAGAAGAAATAAGATTCTCTCCTCTCTTCCTCTCTACATTGTTGTCTATTTTATTGTTCTATAATGTTACTTTGAGCTACATTTCTTAACAGCTACCTTTTTTTCAAAAAAATTTTGAAACATTGTTTGTTCATACGATATGGTCAGCCTTTTTAAAAATTTAAAGAAAAAAAAAATCAAGTTACCAAAAACGGGTTTAAGGTAGTTTTGAATGTTATTTTTTCTTTCACTCACAAAACTTCAATTTTCCGTCAAATAAAATGCATGCTTCAACTTTCAAAAAGCTATATTTCAGCATAACTTCAAAAATTCTTTTTTCAAGTTTCAATCAAATTTATGTTCAAACGCTCTCATTTAGGGGGTTCATAATAAGTGTGATTTTATTATATATTGATCTTCTTAAGTAATAATTTTTAATTTTTCTTTTTCGATGATGGTACGGTCTTGTTTCTAAATGGTCTTTTCTTTCTTTTATATTCCTTTCTATCATAACTTTGAGTAGTATAGATCATGCTTTTGCAGAAATTCATTTCACTCTGTTTTAATTGTTCTTATATTTGTAGATTGGTACATTTTTCTTGTAATATGTCCATTATATGTTGAATTTTATGTCCTATTGGCCATTTCTGATGTGGATATTGTAATACTCCTTTTCTCTTGTTCCAACTTCCATCTTTCTCCAATTTCTCGTCCTAAAGCTCCTGATAATGTATTGAATTCTTGATTAAATGTATTGAATTCTTGATTAAATGTATTACCGCTAATGCTAGTGTAGTAAACGTAATCATGGTAATTTTTGAGTGAGTTCTTAATATATATTGTAAATCCTACTCGTACTCCTCTCTCCTTCATGTTCTTAACTTTGTGGTTCATATTTAGCAAATTTAAATTATATCTTGTTCTATGTTTCAAGATTATTTTCCCATACTTTTTTTTAATCAAGTCCTTTCACTTCTTCTTTTCAATCTAACTCTTAGCACTTGCTTCTTTAACTCACCCTGGTCACAATCGAATAAATTCCCAATTTAACGGATTTTGGTTACGACGGAATTTTTTCCTAGAAATTTACAGGTTAATTCATTGTAGTTACTGTTAACAACAGTGTTCTGGTTCGAAAGATGTTTAACGAAAAAACGAAAAAGAGATGAAGCAGAATGTTAAATCCGATCCCACAAATTTCTTGTGTCTCCTTAAGAAATTATAACCCTCCCACAGTTGCCAAGGATTATGGGTTACTTCCTCCCAGGATAGAACGGAAAAACGTTTCTGTGATAGTGGCAATACAAATCACAGAATTCCAACGAACTCAAAGATACACTGCAAATCACACGACTTACTGTTTTGTTTTGATGAAAACGATGCAGTAATTTAGTTAGGAAGAAGGAGAGTTTTGAGAGTGATGTCTGTAAAAAAAAACTGAGTACTGAAATGAGGCAAAGCCTCTGGAATTTATAGGCCAATGATTCTGCCTAAACAGGTGCGAACAGACTGTTCAGGAATGGAGTTATGGCATGTCTATTAACAGACACGAATGTTGGAAAGAAGAACGTTGGGTTAACAGACACGGCTGTTAACTTCTTTTAATAAATAAAAAAATAATAATAATAATAATAGGAGGAAACTGTCAATTAATTAATTAAGATTAGATCCAAAAAATTAATCTTATCGATCGTTTGACCAAATCCAAATCCAAATCCAAAGCCGAGCCGAGCGACGACGGCGGCGCGAGGTGTTTCTCTCCTTCTCAACCTTTTGAGAGGTAGAGAATGTGTTTCTCAATATAAACACATATTGGATGGTTTCCCCATTCAATGTGGGACAATCCACTTTGCAAGACTTAATGAATTTGAATTTTTCATTTCCCTCCAAAAATTATTTCCTCCATTTCCCTTTCACTCCACTTAATTTAAGACTATTCATGTCTTTAAATTCCAACAATATATAGGTGAATCCAAGATTTAACTATGACGGGTTTTATTTTTAACGTTCTTAGTAATAAACTCATTATACTTTTGAAATTATGAGTTCAAACTTTAATATTTGCTAAATTTTAATATTTTTTTTTTACGTATATGTTATGTATCGAAAATATTGAGTTCAACTAAACGTATTGGTCAAAAGTGCCGGTTGCCTATATCTATCAGTATCGGTTGCAAAAGCAGAATGACCATAAGAATCTTTTTGCAGAAGATCAGAAAATTCATGGAAATTTTGCAAATTCTCATTAACAATCTATGCATTCTTAACTTGTAAATGAACCGCATATATGAATATACAAATATTGAGAAAAGAATTTTTTTGCAGATTCTCAGAAATGGCTTATTTCCGGGGCTTTCATTGGCTTGATATCCGTGGCAAGATTGCAAAGTCAAATGTTGTCAAAGAGAACAACATATGTCGTGTATTTGGTGTTCAACTTAGCGCCAGATGCATTTCACGGTCTTGAAATTGGTAAATCAGTTGTTAGATTTGTCAATTGTGAGAGTGATAATGAGGCTGAGGAACGACGAAAAGTCAGGAGAATTGGTTTAGTTAAAGCTCAGAGAAGAGTTGATGAATGGATGGAAATAGAAATGGGGAAGTTTTTCAATGATACCGGGGAGGATGGAGATGTTGAAGTGCGATTAATGGAGATCAGGCGTCGTTATGGTAGAGGTGGCCTCTTAGTTCAAGGAATAGAGTTTCGACCAGAATGAACACGAGAATCTATCTCTTATAGATTCAAATTCTTCTGAATATTGCCCTTAACGAACAAGATACGGGTTGAGAAGGGGGAGTTAGCTAAGTTAGACAAGATTGGAATAGGCATAGGAACATGTATTGATGTACCAGATCGGCTAGTGCTCCCAGGTTGATGCAATGTATTCCACCAGTTGACTGAAGACTTGATTATTGGTATATCGATCGGTCCGTATTGCCCTTCTCACCAAAAGATTTGCTATATGAAAAACTCCTTGTTGTGGATCCTGCCGCCTATATAATTGTTTGATATAATACTACTAAGTTAATATGTTTATTCAGGATTAGCAAGAAACAGAGGAGATCAAGTTCCCTGTAAATATATCCATCTTAAGTGACTGTTGGTGTCACCCCCAACTCTTGTAATTGTAAAGGACTATTCAGTGATTCAACCTTATCCATTAACATAGCCCTTATCTGTATCTTTTTGTTAGCCTTTTCTTTAGGAGTTTGTTAGGCCTTATGTATCTTCCAAAAGATTTATTGTTGTAATTTTGCTCTATATAAAGAGCTCCTACAAATATCTAGAAATGTGATATTTCTTGATTCTGTTATACTTAACAAACAACAAAGCAAATACATAGTAAATGCAGCAGCTGCTTTAATCAATTCATATTTGCCGTGGACTATACTTTCGTCTATTGCCAGAAGGTTTGTCTGCTATATCGTGAGGATTCAAATCTGCTGCTGAAGCTGGCATTGTTTGGGAGAAATTTTTGCCGTTGGATTATCAAGATATTATATCTAAATCTGTCTCTTTCTTGGTTTTCCTTCCAAGAAAGACCTTTACTTTAGCCTCTGTGACTCACCAATTCTCATTGATGGAGGCAAACTGGTACTATATCTTCTATCCTATTTAAGCTTGGTAAAAAAGATTGTGTTTTTAATTCATAAGGGGTATTGAGTGGTCTACGTCCAGCCTGGCAGAGGCGGACATATGTATAACCCCTTTAATCTCGACAAAAATTCTAGATATATATGTGCATATATATTGAAAATAGTCAGATATTTTGCTTGGAACCCTTAAAATCAAAAGTCCGCATGGGCACTGGTTGAGCAGTTCGCTCATGTGCCCCGCCACCTTTAAATCCTGGGTATGGCTCTGCGCCCAGGTTTCCTTTTCATGTAGTTGTAGAAATGCTCGAGGGCCTTCTTTTTTTTTTTTTTTTTTTCTCTAATTCGTTTGGTTGTTTTTAATTTCTGATGTGTTGTGTATCTGTAATTTGATTTGTCAAATAGAGTTTTTCACTGGATAAGAAAACAGGGAAGATATGTTATATGGTGGCATCAAGGGAACTTGCTATGTCAGGGGGTGATGAACCACGGTATTGGGAATGGTTATCTCACCCGGTTTTATATTTTCTCGGTTAATTACATGACTAAAATTTATAAATATCTCACCACGATAAAAAAAAAAATTCGTAGATTCTCAGAAGTGGCTAAACTCGAGTGGGTTTGTTGGCCTGAAATCCGAGGCAAGTTTAAAACTAAAATATGTTGCTTATCTAGTGTTCAAATTGGAAGATGGATTTTATGGCCTTGACATTGCTGACAGTGGCGAAGCTAGAAATTTTTCTTAGGGTATTCAAATTTGAAAGAAGTAAAAAAATCATTGACAAAGAGTGTTCAATATACGTTATATACCTCTAAAACCTAATATTTTACCTATATACACAGTGTAATTTTTCGACGTAGGGTGGTCAATTGACCACCCTTACCATAGTGTAGCTTCGCCCATGATTGCTGATGCAGCCGTTAAATTCTCGATAAAGGGTGTTCAATATATACTGTATACTATTAGAAATTGATTTTTGCAACTTGGCCACAAAAACTATGAGAAGAAATTTTTGATTTTTGATTTTTAAGAACGACTTTTGTTTGATTTATTAGCTGTCCCATTGACTTTTATTAGAAGTTTCTGAGGAAGCCTTTGGTTGACTTAGCTATCCTATCAAAGCAGCTTCTTTCCCATTTCCCAAGCTTGCGGTCTTTTTTTTCCTTTTTTTTTTCTATAAATAGATAGTTCATATTTAGCAACTTTAATCAATTAATTTTTACCATGGATTATTTTCGTTTATTACCAGAAGGTTGCATATCAGAAATTATCTCCTTCACTTCTCCCAAAGATGCTGCTACTTCCTCAGCTATATCAAGAGGATTCAAGTCTGCTGCTGAATCCGACGTCGTTTGGGGGAAATTTTTGCCCTCTGATTATCAACATATTATTTCTAGATCAAACTCGTTATTGGTTTCTCCTTCCAAAAAAGAGCTTTATTTTAGTCTCTGTGACTCCCCGATTCTCACTGATGGCGGCAAACTGGTATGATTTCTTCCTATCTATCTAAACTTTGGTTCTTTTCTTTTTCTTTCTCCTTCTCTTTGTGTTTTGCTTGTTCTGTTTTTCATGAAAAGATTGTGTTTTGAAACGCTGAGTTTAATTGAAAAAAATTAGAAATAGCTCTGGTAATTGAAAAATAGAAATAGTTTTAAAAGTAATCGAAATTTAGTCTTTTTTATGTAAAGATAAAATTTGAACAAAAATAACCTTAAAATCCAAAAAAAAATTTAGCATAATATGCTGGAGTTCAAATCTTTTACAAATGAGATTCCAAGTTCCAATATAATATGCTGTAAGCAGAGGCGGATCTAGGATTTAAAGGTGGCGGGTGCCAAAATTTCCTTTAATGTACACTTTATAATAACAACTAATATATAGTTTGTTCGGAACGTTTCTCCGGTTCATTTTTTAAGTTTATCTGGGCAATTTAATAAGCACTTTATTTGCAAATATAAAAATTACATCAATTTTCCAGACCCTACTTATGGGATTTCATTGGGTATATATGTTATTATTGTCGTATGAAAATTACATCAGAAGCAAATATAATTAACATTTTAAAGAAGGAATCACACTTTTATTATTAATTATACAAGTAAAATTAATATTTTCACTAGGGAACTACATTTTTTTGTATGCCAAAAATAAAATTACACAAGTAAAATAAAATCTTTAATAAGGGAACTCCACCGATCAGAATAAGAAAAATAAAAAAATAAAACATCTTCAATAGATAAATTATACCCCATAAGTAAATGCAAAATTAGATAAACTACAAGATCTCAAAACTTAAAATCATAAATCTAATGTTTGCGAAATATTTATCATAATTTATTACTAAAGAGATTTAAATTGTATTTAACAATCATAAAATAACACAAATTTTTATGTTATAATAAAAAAAAAGAAATTATAAATTAATTTTGATCTCAATCTAAATATCAAGACCCTAAGTTTTTTGATTTTGAAAGAAGAAAACTAAAAGATTTGAGATTAAGAGAAATACTTATATTATGAAATTTTTAAATTTTGGAGGCTTTTTTTTTTTTTAGTGTTCTTGCAAAATATCACAGATAAAGTAATAGAATAAGAGGGAAAAAAATAAAATAATAAACGACTAATAGGAAATTGGAAGGTAGCTAGAATTAAAGGAAAATGACTGGGAGAAAAGAAATAAAAAGTACAACGAAAAGGAAAAGTCAGAGGTTCAAGATAAATTCGAACTTGAATTTTACACACAAGAAAAGCTTTCAGAAATGTCTACCAGTCATGGAACCTTTGTCTAGTTGCAGATGGGGGTGGCAGGATCATATATTTAACCTAGTTTAAATTATTATACATAAATATATGATAATTTTACCAACCGGGCAGGTGCCATACCACCCCCACCCATAAGGGTGGATCCGCCCCTGGCTGTAAGTTTATACACAGGGTCTCCGTAATCTCGCATATTATGCTAGAACTTTCTCGTGTGCTGGAGCTCCATAATCCAGCATATTATGCCGGAACTTTTCGTATTTTAGCAAAACAGTAGTTATTTTTCAATGACTATGCAAACACTGACTATTTTTTAATTATCAATCCGAAAACTGGCTAGCTCGTGCTAATTTCACACAAATCTTGATTTATAAGTGGAGAAAGGTAGAGGAGCGAGCCCATTAATCAACCTAGTTTCGAACTTGTGTTTTAGTTGACCCTTGAAAATTACTCTGTTGTCGGAAACAACTCCAATTTAGTACAGCCAGTACTATGCAATTGATTAAAATGTATTATTGGTCTCAATGTTTAACTTTGTAAATACCCATGTAAATAAAGTGTCGGATACATACAATAAGAATTCATTATCATTGATAAAATATATAAGAGGGGCAGTACGTGATTTGGATCAACCAATAAAAAACATCATCAAAGCACCAAAGACTTACTCTGGCCTGTTTGTTAGCAGGTAGTATCTTCACACTTCTACAACAATGTTTGTATCTTTTGCATCAGTACCGTAAACTCCAATACTATTACTCTTTGAGAATTTTCTTGACCATAACAACCAAAAAGGAGATGGAGAAAAGTTCAAAAGGTAAAGTATGAATTGATCTCCTAATAGTAAGTTTCAACAGACAGATATTTTAACTAACCTGCTACGTAATTTAAGTATTACGCTTATAGTTTTCTTGACAGTTAAGTTTTCACCGGTCTCAAGAAGCATAGATAGGAAAATCACCTGAAACATGCAACATTCGTGCAAGTACAGGCAACAAAGTTGCATACAGAAAATAACAGGCGGAATAGCTTCCCGGCCACTTAAACTTGACGGGATTTTAAAAGTCGACACATAAACTTTCAACTTTTCCATTTGAACACTCGAACTCATTTTTTCCGTAACTAATAAAGATATTTGACCATGCCCATGTTGCGTCAGTTGGTCCTAATCAGCAGGCCGTGTGAGGAACACGACGCACAGGAGCGTAAAACCCCCTTCCCAACGCCCAACAGTACAAAATGGGTTGTATTTAAGTGTCTTCTTATTCATTCCTTCTAAATACCCCCTTCCTCCATTTTTTAAAATCTGAAGCTCTATTCCTCCTTCTTGTAAAATCTGAAGCTTCATTTTTCTTTTCTTTTTTCCTTTTTTTTTCAGATCGTGAAAATGATGGAAAGTCGTATATTTTGTCATTGTGGAGTTGAAGCTAAGTTTTGCATCACTTGGACCAAACGAAGCTCGATCAAAACAAGATTAACAGATAATAAGCGAAAACAAAAGAAAAATGGGTGAGTGATTATGATCGATTTTGGAAGGGGGTGAGTGATTATGATTGATTTTGGAAGTTCGTCCAGCACAGCTGACCTCACCACCATAAACAAGTCCTTTTTAAATGTAGGAGCGAGAAGACTTAGAGAGTGAGCGGCCAATACGTGAAAATATCATATTTTTGGTAATTCTTGTAACATGAAATGAACAATTTCAAAACCCTAAAAATTGATTCTGAAACGGGTACTTTGAAGCCAATTGATTGAAAATGTCATCGAAAATATTGACAAAAGCTATAATTTGAACAGATTTATAGGATCTTTTTTCTTTTTCTTTTTTTGTGAATTACACTAGGCTATGGCATTTGGAGCTATAGTTTAGGTCGGATAATTTGCAGAGTTTGCGTGAACAGAGGAACATGGAGAACCGGGAATGAATAGGGGAGGGTTTGGTCAGAAAGAGGTTAAAATGAGGGGAGGGTGTCGGTCTATGGAATGAAAAAGGGGTCCCCGATCTGTTGGGTTAGGGTTTTCGTGCCCTTGACGTGTAAGACACCCATTGGTCATTTGCTGACTGGATGGACACGTATGTGTATGTGTAATTCACGCGCGCATGGTCTTTTATCAGATGTGTTTATTAATTATGGGAAAAATGAATTCGAGCGTTCAAATAGAAAAACAGAAAATTTATGTATCGGCTTTTAAAAATTCGACAAGTTTAAGTGACCAAAAAGTCATTCCGCCAAAATAATAAGATAACTACAGTTAAACTTCTTATGAGATCACATAGCAGAAATTTTCCTAATTGTTCTCCTTTTTTCTTTATTCAAGATGCTTCGAGTATAATAGTTTGTCATCATGTTTGTTGTACTGTCTTTCTTGTAGCCATCAGTCATGTCAGATCAATAGGGCTAGCATTCTCTTTCTGATCAATTAGAAAAGACTACTCTGAACGCTGAAGTATCTCGTGTACATAGCTTGTCATAGGATTACATCAAGAGCCACTATTCAAACTATCGTGTACACGCTATCTTTTTCAGACCTCACTATGTGAGATTACATTGAATATATATGTTGTTGTTGTTATCGTTGCGCCCGGGATATAAAGTTATCGAAATTCAACAAGGGAAGTCTCACGTTCCCAAATCCCAATTAACTAGCTAAAATTGCAATAACAACATTATTCCCAAAAAAACAAACATTTTAAATATCAACTTAAGTAAGAGAAAAAAGAAAGCTGCGTATTTGTCACAAATTTGCTGTGGACCTCAAATTTTCTCCAAAGCTATTTATTAATCTCAGTCGTCGTCCCGTATTCTTTCCTAAGCCCTCAAAGATTGACAATTCAGAATTGGACTAAAAATTGCATATAATGTTAAGTTCTAAAACATTAAATACTAGATTCAGGAGCCACATATATAGTGAGCATTTCTCCAATTAGCTTTGAATTGCTGATAGTGTAAAAAGACAGCCCTTTATTAACAGTTTCAATAGTGTTTAGACAAAGGTTTTGCTAATTGAAACGCTGCAGTTTTAGAGGAAAGAGAGGACAAAGGCGTTGGTGACGTTAAATTATATACCATCTGTGTCCCAAGTCTATCCTAAGGCAATAATTTACTTTTATTTTTAAAAATAATTTTACTTTAAATTTATTTATATTTTTAGTAAAATAAGATATAGCCAGACAAAAATATTAAATAGTATAGTTTCTTAAAGGGCAAATTAATTCAATTTCACTTTTTTATTGTTGATAAATATGTTAAAGAACTGCTATAAAAAATCTAAACAACTGAGATAATCATAATATTATAATTTATAAAGCAAAAAAAATTAATGTTACGATGCTAAATCTGGAGTTTGGATTGTTATATCAACTGCTTCGATCATAAAATAACAGCAAGAGCGCGGAAAGTTGAATGTTTCTTATCATAACTTTTTTTTCGTAGAAGAAATATTTATCTTTTTTCCAAGAAAATATGTTGATTTAACAGAAATAATTCGAGAATTTTAGTTAACTCTTTACGTAGAATTAGATGGTCTTCCTGAACAGATTTTTCATTTGATAGGTAAATTGTTGAAGCTACAAGGCTATAAACTTAAAAACGAAGAGCACTTTCTTCGGAGGGCAAGACAATATGAATCCCTATCATGTTCCATCAATGTTGAAAAAAGGATTTGTGATGTGCCCGTAGACAATAAATTGCGTCCAGAAAATAAAATCGAAACCGAAAAATATCGTAACAATCGTAGTATTTTATTTTAAATATTTGAGTATTACAATCTCTATGAATCCTCAGATTCTTCTTTCCAATATTAAATAAATTCAAGGGCCTTTGAGCTTGATCTTGAATATGTAGTTGTTGCCACGAATGATGATCTTGTTCTTGAGCTTGAACTTGACCTTGATTTGTTCTTCGTTCTTGAGCTTGAAGCTTGAAACTTGTGGAGGAATTTGCAGTGTTTGGTCCACGAGCTCTTTCTTGCTTCTTATTATTACTTCTGGTGTCTTTTCTGAGTTATGAAGACCCCTATTTACAGTTGTGTAAGGGAGGAGTTGTGATAAGAACAAACTCTTTCCGACCAATCAAACTAAAGTGTGACATGGCCGCATTTGATTGGCCAGAACATGTCACTTGCGATTTCATTAGCCTTTTAATGTGACTTGGCATGCCTTGTCATTTTGAGACGTGGCATGGTCCCATTGGCTCTTCCGTTTGACTTGGCGTGCCACGTCATTTGACATGTGGCACCAAATTGGGCCTGTAGGAAGATGGCATCTTGGGCTTAATGAAGTGGGCTCATCACTTGTAGCCCAACCAAATGGACTAGCCCAATGGATTAAGACTTATTTATTTAATCTACATATATTGGACTTATAATTAATCCAATTATATTAGCCCAATAAATTTACTTGAACTAATTTATCTTGAATTTAAGATATAGTCTCAATTATTGTATGGATTTAACTTAAATAAAATTTATATGCCTACAGACCCAATAGGTCATCTTATGTTTTAGAACCAAACTCTGTGTTTCGAAGCCTTTATAACCTCATTCTAGCCTTCTTCGATTTACGTGTGCAGGGTATTGACCCGGAAGGCTTATATGTTAAATACTGATAAAAACAAGGATTTTTGCCTTAAAAGTTAATATTAGTTGACTTCGCTCAACGTTTTGAGTAAACGGACCCGGACCCATATTTTGACGGTCCCGGTGGGTCCGTATTAAAATATGGGACCTGGGCGTATGCCCGGAATCGAATTCCGAGGTTCCTTGCTTGAGTTATGAATTTTTATCAAAAATTAAGTCTGAAAATTTAATGGTTTTTAAGAATCGATTGATGTTTGGCCTTGTTGATACCGGGTCCATATTTTGGTTCCGGAGCCCGGTACAGGTCAAAAATAATATTTATAATTTATCTGTGAAATCTGGTGAGAAACGGAATTGGTTTGACGTGATTCGGACGTCCGGTTGAGTAAATGGGTCTTCATATGGCAAGGACTTGATCTCCTACTTGAAAGAATCTCGGGCGGACTCTTTTATTGAAGGCGCGAGACAATCGAGCTTGATAACATTCAAGACTCTGTTGAGCTTCCAACCTTTTCTCATCAAGAGCCTCCAACTCTGTTAATCGAAGTTGAGCATTTTCTTCATCAATGATGCCCTCTTAAATAGCTAATCGTAATGAAGGTATTTGACGCTCGAGTGGCAAGACGACTTCAACTCCATAAACGAGTGCATAAGGGGTCGCTTGTGTTGGCGTGCGGCGAGTTGTCCTATATGCCCACAGAGCTTCCTCCATACGGTCATACCAATACCGTTTGGATTTGGAGACGACTTTCTTTAACAAGTTGCATAGAGTCTTGTTGAATGCCTTGACTAGACCATTGGCGGAAGCATTGTACATAGAAGAGTTATATTGCTTGAAGCCAAAGAGTTCACAAATCTTGTTCATCAACCTATTGTCGAACGGCTTGCCATTGTCCGTTATTATGTAACGAGGAATGCCAAAGCGATAGATAATGCTTACTTGAATGAAACTTGCAATATTTTCCTTCTTTACTTCCTTAAGAGCAACATCTTCAGCCTATTTTGAGAAGCAGTCAGTTGCAGCCAAGATGTACAGGTGCCCACCAGAGGAATTTGGTAGTGGACCAACAACATCCAATCCCCAAGCGTCAAACGGCCAGGATGCAACAATCGGGTGCAACATTTCAGGAGGTTGATGAATAAAATTCGGATGGAATTGACAAGCCTTGCATCTTCGAGCGTAGTCCAAGCAATCTTTTACTATCATTGGCCAATAATATCCCGTCCTTTTTATATGGAAGTGCAGCTTTGGTCCAGACTGGTGTGTAACTAACCTTGTAAATCCTCAAATTTTCTTAATAAATCGTTGACTATTCAAAATTACCTTTTTTAAAATCATAAATCATTAAGTTGAAAAGTATTTTATGTCATAATTAAAATAAAAACTATTGCGCGTTGGCCATTAAGACTGCTATGATAGTAAATTTTAAATAAATCTTTCACTTAAAAAGTATTTGTTTATTAACTTTTGTTATGTCTTTATTATATAATAGTCCATAATTTTCTAGTAATTATTTTCCTAAATATTATTTTTTTACGTTTACGAGATACAATACTTATTAATTTAATAGCTCACTAGTAATTATTTACAAATAATTAGTTATCATGGTATTAACTTATTGAAACTTAAAAATAATGATGCTAAAGAATCATATTTACATTGTAATTATGTTTTTATATAAATTCTCTTTCAAATAGAAAGCATAATAAATAAAAGGAGTATTTAAAAAAAAATATCTAATTATAATATCGAAATTTTTTCAAGATTCATTGCTCCTTAAGAGATACATATAAGATTTCATATCGAATACATTACTTTTGATATTTGAGTTGTAACGACGCTGCAGCTAATTGCATATTATGATATATGTCATACTTTTCGTATTATTCATAGTTGAATTATAATTTATAAATATTTTAAATTTATTATTTGTTATAATTTTATGATTTTAATATAATTTTTATAATTATTTTTTTATTTTATACTACCTTAAAATTGTTGAAATCGGTAAAATTTAAAGATCCGTGGGACTTAAGCCCCATGTTTCAGGGCTTACGCCTCGCCTCGTCAAAGGTAAAACGCCTCGCCTCACGCCCTCGCCTTTTAAAATATTGATCCTACCGAGGCGAATGGCCCTATCCCATAAGAGTGTATTACAATATCCTACCGAAGCAAACGATCCGATCCCATTAGAATATGAAACTTTGATGGGTCAATGGCCCCGCTTA